GAGCTGGGAATGTGCCCCTGGAGAAGGGAAAAATCCAGGGAATGCTCAGAGTCCCTGAAGGGGCTCCAGGAGAGCTGGAGAGGGACTGGGGACAAGGGACAGAGGGACAGGAGCCAGGGAATGGCTCCCACTGGGAAAGGGGAGCTTGGGCTGGGATCTTGGCAAGGAATTCCTGGCTGGGCTGGAATTCCCAGATTTGCTGTGGCTGCCCCTGGATCCCTGGCAGTGCCCAAACCAGGCTGGACATTGGGGCTTGGATCCACCTGGGATCATGGAAGGTGTCCCTGCCATGGATGGGGTGGAACGAGGAGATCTTTCAGCTCCTGATCCCACCCAAACCAGTCTGGAATTCTGTGGAATTGGGTGGGACACGGCCGTGGTGGGGCAGGGGAGGTGCAGCCGGGTGTGGGGTGGCTCCTTGTCCTTTCTTTCCTGAGGGGAAGTGTGGATGAGCAGACAGGGTCCTGGAGCTGGGGATGAGGGATGATCCCAGCTCTGCGTGGCCTTGGTGCAGTCTCAGCAGAAACCTCCAAAATCTGCTCTTGAAACTGCTCTGAGGCCTCCTGCTCCTGGTGGGCCACTCCGAGAGTCCAACGAGTCCTTGAGGCCACCACAAAACATTGGGCAAATGGCAGCTCCTGCCAGCCCAGTGATTAACTAATTACTCGTTAATTTTGGCACCGTGAACGAGGGGTTTGATGTGAGTGTCCAGCCGTGGTGGTGATGGTGGCTCAGCTTCACTGTGCTCCTGCCTTTGATGGTGCCACACGTTCATTTATTAAAGAAATGCTTGAAAAAATGCACCTTCAGCTTTAAATTACCCCAAAATTCAATTATTTAAGTAATTTCCTTCAGCTTAATGAGTGGCTTCACTCCAAGGTGTCAGTGATCACAGCAGGGCTGGGTTGATGAGGATGGAGATGGTCATGGGGGTTTGTGCTGCTCGTGGAGGTTTGGAGAGCCAAGGGCCAGCAGAATTTAATAAATCCCTTTGGTTTGGTCCCTCAGCGGTGGCGTGGCAGTGAGATAATCCCTTTTCCCTTGGTTTTCCTGTGGTGGAGAGGACGTGGACAACACCAGGATCCTGAGAACCGCCAGACTTCAGGCCTTGGAGAGGGGCTGAAAGGGAGATCACTCCTCCCTGCACTGAGTTTATCACTTATTAACTTCAGGCACCACCTCGTTTTGTCTCTTGGTTAGATAAAATTGTGATAATCCTCCTCTTCTTGGGTCTCTCCCTGATTTCTGCCTCGGGATCCTTCCCTTTCCTGAGGGAAACAGCTTTTGGGAGTGTTGGGAAGCCCTGACAGGGAAATGTTGAGTCACAGTTTCTGTTTCTAAGATAATCTCTCTTAAAATACCAAATTTCTCATGGATTCAAGTTGGTCCTGAACCTGATTACAGGGGAAAAGTGGGATTTGTGCTCCAGGGTGGCTGGATGTGCCCGGCATGGATCGGGAGCTGCTCATCCTGAGCCCCCCTGAGACTCAGCCAGGACAAAAAGCGGAATTCAAGGACAAAATCCACGTCCTGAATCTCCACATCCCCTTGCAGTGCACCCACACAAATGCAAGGAGGTTTTGGGGATGGATTTGAGCACCTAAAAAGGTTCTTAAAATGGATTTTAGGGCTTAAGAAGGTTTTGGGGATGGTTTTGGGAATCTAAAAAGGTTTTTAAAATAGATTTTAGTACCTAGGATGGTTTTGGGGGATGGAGTTTTGCACCTAAGAAGATTTTGGGGATGGATTGATGGATTTTTGCATGTAAGAATTTTTTGGTGATGGATTTTAGGACCTTAAAAAGTTTAGGGGATGGATTATAGGACCTCAAAAGGTTTGGGGGTGGATTTTTCTACCTAAGAAGGTTTTGGAGATGGATTTTTCTACCTAAGAAGGTTTTGGAGATGGATTTTTCTTCTTAAGAAGGTTTTAGGGATGGATTTTTCTAAGAAGGTTTTGGAGATGGATTTTTCTCCTTAAGAAGGTTTTGGGGATGGATTTTTCTACCTAAGAAGATTTTGTGGATGGATTTGAGCACCTAAGGAGGTTTTTTGGACTGATTTTAGCACCTGAAAAGGTTTTTTGGATGGATTTTGACACCTTTGGGAAGGGTAAAATTAGGTGGGAGAGCTCTGGGCACATCCCTGGGCTGATTCCTGCCGGAGCCTGGAGCTGCACTTGGAAAAAACAAGGAGCAAGTCAGGCTATGGCTCCTCACAAGCCCTTGGAAGCTGAGGGCATCCCGAGGCAGCCTGGTTGTATAATGCCACAACAGCTGGAGAATCATTAAATTACCATCAGGTTTTGCTTTTAATTAATTTATTTTCTGGAGAGGAGCAGGTTGACAGCTGGTGCCTCGCTCAGGTGATATTTGTTGTTGCATGTTGTTTGTTTTGTGAATTCTAAATGAGGCGCAGTTGGGTTGGTTTTATTTTATTTATTTTTTTTCTCTCTCTCTCTCTCTCCCCCTTGGCTCCAAACAGTTCAAAGCAAGACGTTGTCCCTTCCCTGAGATGTTTGTGATCCAATTTCAGACAGAAAACAGGGCGGGTGTGGAGGAGGGAGGATGGGCAGGGATGAAACATCCAGGGCTGGATGGCCCCGGGGCCGGGGCGGGAGGTTGGAGCACATCCTTGGATCCTGAGGATCTCCAGGAGGGGGATGCTGAGCTGGGGCCTGGGTTGGTGCAAAAGCCACCCCAGAGCCCAGCCCAGGGCTGCTGGCCATGGAGAGGGCTCCGCTGTGGGATGGACATCCTCTGGACACTCAGAGCCGCGGCAAAGTTGGGAAAAATGAGCTCGAGCTTATTTCTCCCAATGCCATGGGAGTCGTCTTGTGAAATGCCGTACCCCAAACACATTCTGGAATTCTGCACCCCAAACACATTCTGGAATTCCGTAACTCAAACACATTCTGGAATTCCATACCCCAAACACATTTTGGAATTTCGTACCCCAAACACATTCTGGAATTCTGTACCTCAAACACATTCTGGAATTTTGTACCCCAAACACATTCTGGAATTCACAGTACTCCAAACACATTCTGGAATTCCATACCCCAAACACATTCTGGAATTCTGTATTCCAAACACATTCTGGAATTCTGTATCCCAAACACATTCTGGAATTTCATACCTCAAACACATTCTGGAATTTCGTACCCCAAACACATTCTGGAATTCCATACCCCAAACACATTCTGGAATTCCATACCCCAAACACATTCTGGAATTCTGTACCCCAAACACATTCTGGAATTCACAGTACTCCAAACACATTCTGGAATTCACAGTACCCCAAACACATTCTGGAATTCTGTACCCCAAACACATTCTCTAATTCTGTACCTCAAACACATTCTGGAATTCTGTACCCCAAACATATTCTGGAATTCCGTAACTCAAACACATTCTGGAATTCCATACCCCAAACACATTTTGGAATTTCGTACCCCAAACACATTCTGGAATTCTGTACCCCAAACACATTCTGGAATTCCATACCTCAAACACATTCTGGAATTTCATACCCCAAACGCATTCTGGAATTCCGTACCCCAAACACATTCCGGAATTCTGTACCCCAAACACATTCTGGTATTCTGTATCCCAAACACATTCTGGAATTCCATACCTCAAACACATTATGGAATTCCATACCCCAAACACATTCTGGAATTCCGTACCCCAAACACATTCAGGAATTCTGTACCTCAAACACATTCCGGAATTCTGTACCACAAACACATTCTGGAATTCTGTATTCCAAACACCTTCTGGAATTCTGGACTCCAAACACATTCTGGAATTTCATACCTCAAACCCATTCTGGAATTCCGTACCCCAAACACATTCTGGAATTCGCAGGACCCCAGGAGGGCTTGGCTGGAGGGACCTTCAAAGGCCATCCATGGGTCAGGAATCTTCAGCTATCCCGGGGTGCTCCAAGCCCTCTCCAACCTGGCCTTTAATTCCCCCTCTTTGTGTCTTTGGTGTCTTTTGCCCTCCCTGTTCTCTTTGCTGGCGCCATCATTGGTTGTTTCACGGATCAATAAATCCAACATTTGTTGAAATTATGGACAAAGCAGCTGGAAATTAGTAGGACACATCCCTCCGTATCCCAGGAATTGGGCATGGAGCGTTCCTGTACCTGAGGAGTTGTGTGTTCTCAGATAAACTCTTTGTACTCTGATACTTGAATGGAATTTTGGAGGAAAGTTCCACTTTTGTGCTGGAGGGACACAAGGTTGGACATTGAATGTCCCAGCTGGGGGTGGCAGCAGGGCCAGGGCAGGGAATGGAGCTGGGAAGGGACTGGAGAGTTCCTGAGGGAGCTGGGAAGGGGCTGGAGAGTTCCTGAGGGAGCTGGGAAGGGGCTGGAGAGTTCCTGAGGGAGCTGGGAAGGGGCTGGAGAGTTCCTGAGGGAGCTGGGAAGGGAATGGAGAGTTCCTGAGGGAGATGGGAAGGGGCTGGAGAGTTCCTTGGGGAGCTGGGAAGGGGCTGGAGAGTTCCTGAGGGAGCTGGGAAGGGAATGGAGAGTTCCTGAGGGAGCTGGGAAGGGGCTGGAGAGTTCCTGAGGGAGCTGGGAAGGGGCTGGAGAGTTCCTGAGGGAGCTGAGGGGGCTCAGCCTGGAGCAAAGGAGGCTCAGGGGGACCTTGTGGCTCTGCACAGCTCCTGCCAGGAGGGGATAGCCGGGGGGATTTGGGATCTGTTCCCAGGAACAGGGGCAGGAGGAGAGGGAACGGCTCCAGGGGAACCCCAGGGTGGACATTCCCCATGGGAAAGGGGGGTCAGGAGTTGGAGGTGCCCAGGGAGGTTTGGAATCTCCATCCCTGAGGGGTTTCACAGCCCGGTGGATGTGGCCCTGGGGGATTGGGGCATGGTTGGACTCCCATATCTCAGAGGGCTTTTCCAACCTCAGCGATTCCACAATTTACATTCCCAAGTGAGCTCTTCCTGCACATCCTGGCGACTGCAATGACCCTTTCCTGTTTTCCAGGGAGCCCGGGAGACCTTTGAGAGCTACTACAGGAAGCAGAGGAGAAAACAAGCGCGGCTGGTGCTGCAGCCTCCCTCCAACATGGTCAGTTTGTCCTGGAATGTCATCCCGGGGCTCCCACTGCCCCCGGCTCACCCCCAAAATCCCGCCTTGCCCTCGGCCACCTGGGCTCTGACCTCTGCTCCCTCTCTCTTTGTTGCAGCACGAAACTTTAGATGGCTACAGGAAGTATTTCAATCAAATTGTAGGGTAGGTGTTCCTTTTATACACGGCCCCGCTAAAAATGGGTGTCCTGGGCTGCCGAGGAGCCCAAAAAAAAAAAAAAACTGGGAGAGGAGGGAGTGTTGGTATTTTTGGTGGTCCTCAAAGCCAAAACAGGACCAAAAAAAAAACCCCAAAAACCAGTGGTTTTTGCTTTTTAAGTGTTGTAAAGTGAATTTTATCCTCTTTGCTGTGTCACTGTGGGGAGCGGGGAGGGACCTGCCAGCTCTTTTGGCAAGCTCTGAATTTCTGTGGATTTCTGGGAATTTCTTGGAATTTCTGGGGATTTCTTGGAATTTCTTAGAATTTCCACAGATTTCTGGGAATTTCTACTAATTTCTGCGGATTTCTGGGAATTTCTGGGAATTTATTGGAATTTCTGGGGATTTCTTGGAATTTTCATGAATTTCTGGGAATTTCTACAAATTTCTGTGTATTTTTGTAAATGTCTCGGAATTTCTGGGGATTTCTTGGAATTTCCACAAATTGATGGGAATTTCTACAAATTTGTATTGATTTCTGTGAATTTCTTGGAATTTCTGGGGATTTAGTGGAAATTCTGGGAATTTCCATGTATTTCTGTGGATTTGAGGATAAACGATGCCCCGCTAACGACATGAATGGCCCCACTGCCTTAATGATTCTAGAATGCTGAATAATTAATCTTTAATCATTTTTCTGCTGAAGGAGGTGATTCTCCATTCCCCAGGGCTGCTTTTTTTTTGTCACGCTCGAATTTGAACAAAAATCCTCCCAAACTGAGCTCCGAGAGGAGAATTCCAAAGGCTGCTGATCCATGAAAATGGGATAGGATTTGATTTTTCCTTCAGCTAATAATGAGAATAATTTCAACACCAAATTACGACCACCACAAGTCCCACATGTGCTGCTCCCCTCGTTCAGCTCCCTGCTCCTGGCCTGGATTTCCTTGGGAAAACCTGGAAATTCATGTGTCACCATTTGAAATGCCAACTCTCACCCTCATTCCCTGGAAAAACACTTTTGGAGCAGCAGAGTTGATAACTGGAGATTGGAGCAAATCGATTTCCTGGGAATGGCTGGGTGGGAGAGAGGATTTTCCCTGCAGTTCAGGCATTTTCCCCTGCACTAAAAGCAGTTTTCTCTGCAGATAAAGAGTTTTTCCCTGCAGATAAAGCAGTTTTCCCTGCAGATAAAGAGTTTTTCCGTGCAGATAAAGCGGTTTTCCCTGCAGATAAAGAGTTTTTCCCTGCAGATAAAGAGTTTTTCCCTGCAGATAAAGCGGTTTTCCCTGCAGATAGAGTGTTTTTCGTGCAGGTAAAACAGTTTTCCCTGCAGATGAAGCAGTTTTCCCTGCAGATAAAGCATTTTCCCCTGCAGATAAAGTGTTTTCCCTGCAGATAAAGTGTTTTTGTGCAGGTAAAACAGTTTTCCCTGCAGATAGAGTGTTTTTCCTGCAGATAAAGTGTTTTCCCTGCAGATAGAGTGTTTTTCGTGCATGTAAAACAGTTTTCCCTGCAGATAAAGTGTTTTTCGTGCAGGTAAAACAGTTTTCCCTGCAGATGAAGCAGTTTTCCCTGCAGATAAAGAGTTTTTCCCTGCAGATAAAGCGGTTTTCCCTGCAGATAAAGTGTTTTCCCTGCAGATAAAGTGTTTTCCCTGCAGATAAAGTGTTTTTTGTGCAGATAAAACAGTTTTCCCTGCAGATAGAGTGTTTTTCATGCAGGTAAAACAATTTTCCCTGCAGATAAAGCAGTTTTCCCTGCAGATAAAGCAGTTTTCCCTGCAGATAAAGTGTTTTTCGTGCAGGTAAAACAGTTTTCCCTGCAGATAAAGTGTTTTTGTGCAGGTAAAACAGTTTTCCCTGCAGATAGAGTGTTTTTCGTGCAGGTAAAACAGTTTTCCCTGCAGATAAAGCAGTTTTCCCTGCAGATAGAGTGTTTTTTGTGCAGGTAAAACAGTTTTCCCTGCAGATAGAGTGTTTTTCATGCAGGTAAAACAGTTTTCCCTGCAGATAAAGTGTTTTCCCTGCAGATAAAGCATTTTTCCCTGCAGATAAAGAGTTTTTCCCTGCAGATAAAGCATCTTTCCCTGCAGTCAGAGCGTTTTCCCCGGCTGTGGTGGGATTGCTGCTGGCTGGAGCAGAGTTTAATCCGTGGTTCTTGTGGGAATAACGAGGTGGAGAACCCGTGGAGGGGGAATTCTGCCTTTGTGTACACACAGAGAGCAGCACCAGGAGGGCTTCAACTCCCTCCTCCAACCCAGTGAAATTAAAAACGAGGGAATAAAGCGCTTGGAGCTGCCTGGATTTGACAGATCCCTCAAATCCAGAGCCCGTGGACGCCCCAACCTCGCCCGAGGGGGCTCGGGGATGTCCTTTGACCCCTCAGATGTGACGTTTTGGTGGCGTTTTCTGCGTTTCAGGTTTTTTGTGGTGGAGGATCACATCCTGCACACCACCCAGGGCCTGGTCAATCGGGCCTATATTGATGAGCTGTGGGAGATGGCCCTGTCCAAAACCATCGCGGCCCTCAGGACCCACTCCGTGAGTAAAAGCCCGGCAGAGCTCAGCTGTTGCTTGACTGTCCTTGACAATTCTGCCTTTTTTTTTTCTTTTTTTTCCTTTTTTCCCCCACTCAGGATTCTTTGTTTTCCCTCTTTCCCAATGAGTGTTTAAAGGAGCAATGCAGACACACAGATAATTCTCTTTCTCTGGATTTTTCAGCCTCTTGGTTGAACGCATTTCCCTGCCAAACTCGGTATTTTGAAGAGTAAAACGGGGGTTTTGTGTTTTCATAATTATTTCATTCGGAATTTTTGAGGCGCATCAGCAGAGGGATTTGTCCCAGAAAAACTGGGGGAGCTAAAGCATCTTTTTGGCACACCGAAACATGACCTTGTTTGATGCAGAACCAGAGAATCCCAGGGTGGTTTGGGATGGAAAGGACCTTAGAGACTGTCTTGATTCCTTAAATTTCATGGCTGAGAAATGGGCTGAAAATGAGCCAAAAATGGGCTGAAAAACCAAATCCAGGGAGACAAAACCCCAGGAGAGAGCCAGGAGCACCTCGGGTGGGAAGAGATGGACACGGATCTCTCTGATGAACCTGGATCTCTCTGGGATGAGCGACCCCAGAGGATTCCTGGTGTTCTCCATCCCCATCCAGGTGGCTGGAAAGTTGATTATTTTCCCCAAAAAAAACAGGGGACGAAAAGCATCTTTTTGTCACACAAGATCAGAGAATCCCAGCGTGGTTTGGGTTGGAAGAGACCTTAGAGATCATCTTGAATTTCATGGCTGTGAAATGGGCTGAAAATGGGCTGAAAAACCAAATTCAGGGAGACAGAAGCCCAGGAGAGAGCCAGGAGCACCTTGGGTGGGAAGAGATGAACACGGATCTCTCTGATGAACCCGGATCTCTCTGGGATGAGCGACCCCAGAGGATTCCTGGTGTTCTCCATCCCCATCCAGGTGGCTGGAAAGTTGATTATTTTCCCCAAAAAATGGGATGAAAAGCATCTTTTTGTCACACAAGATTAGAGAATCCCAGAGTGGTTTGGGTTGGAAGAGACCTTAGAGATCATCTTGATCCCTTAAATTTCATGGCTGTGAAATGGGCTGAAAATGGGCTGAAAAACCAAATCCAGGGAGACAGAACCCCGGGAAAGAGCCAGGAGCACCTCGGGTGGGAAGAGATGGACACGGATCTCTCTGACAAACCTGGATCTCTCTGGGATGAGCGACCCCAGAGGATTCCTGGTGTTCTCCATCCCCATCCAGCTGACTGCCAAGTCGCCTCCTTCCCCCCGAGCTCCTGTGCTACCAGAGGGGATAAACACCAACCCTCCGGGCTGCAAACCTGTGTTTGTTTTTGTTTCCAGTGGGATTTTCTGCGAGCTGGGAGCAGGAGGCTGAGCCAGGACCAGCCACGGGGGTTTTTTTGTTTTTTGGTGTTCCCAGCTTTGTTGCCACGCAGGTTGTTTCAAGTGGTGCCAGGGGAGGCTTTGTCAGCGATCACGAAACATTCCGTGATTTCCCAACCTTGTGGCCGCCACCGTTTGCTCTGAGCACTCCCAGTCCAACCAGTGCCCTGCAGCTCTAACTGGGATTTGAGGGAGGGTCTCACCTTGCCGAGGTTATTTCCATCCTTCCAAGGCAGACAAATTTATCCCTGGATTTTCCTCCTCGCCGCAGACAGGGACATCTTTAATCACTTGCGATGCTTCAGGGCATTATCTTTCTTCCTGACTCTCCTTTTTGGACAGGGAGATGGAAAACGTGTGTCTCCCAGTGCTTCCCGCTGATTAATGGAGCCGTTCCTCCTGGAGTTTCCAGCAGGCTCGAAATCCTGCTCCCTTTCCAGCCTGGGATCTCTGAGTCTATATTTGGGCAGCCTCTGTCTCGAAATTTGCATTTTTCAGCACGGGGAGGCATTTTTGGCCGCTCTCGGGAAGGCTGGGGGGGCTCTGGGGACGCTGAGCAGTGTCTGGGGGGTTTGGAGCAGGATGAATCCCCGTGCTGGGGCTGGAACCCGGCGTGTTTTCCCTCAGCCCGGGCTGAGATGCTTCATTACCGTCAGACACAACACGGTAAATTTTAAATGAGAGGCGCTGTCCTCGTGCCACGTCGTGGGAGCCATCTCCTCTGGCTGCCCAGCCGCTCCTGGGCAGTTTCAGACACACCTCAGGTATCTCTGGAGCAGCCCAAAGCCTTCTCCAGCCCGGAGAGCACAGACACCCTTATCAGCCCTGCCCCGGGGCAGTTCTTATCAGTGTTGGGAGGTTGGGGGTCGGGGCTCAGGGCAGGGTTGGGCTGTGCCACGCAGTCACGGCCGTGTTCTCCTCTCTGCAGTCCTACTGCTCCGACCCCAGCCTGGTGTTGGACCTGAAGAACCTCATTGTGCTCTTCGCCGACACGCTGCAGGTACGTGGGGCCTCTCCTGGTGCTCCCAGTTTGCCCAGCAGGGCTTTGGCGCCTGGGCTGGGCTGGCCAAGCTCCTTTTTTGGCATTTTTGTGGATTACCAGAGGGACAGCCTGGTTTGGTCTGTGCAAGGACCAAGCTTGGCCACCTCAGCCAGCCCTTGGGGCTGGGACAGCGCTGGGGGCTGCTCCTGTGGTCAGTCAGCCCCTAAACCCCTCCAGATGCACCGGGGGTGGTGCTGGAGGAGGATTTGCCCCTGATAAATTCAGACAACAATCCCCAGCTGCCCGGTGGTGCCTTCATTCCCTCTGCAGGGCTACGGCTTCCCGGTGAACCAGCTCTTCGACATGCTGCTGGAGATCCAGGACCAGTACAGCGAGACCCTGCTGAAGAAGTGGGCAGGAGTGTTCAGGTCAGAGGCTCCAGAGAACCGCCTGGCACTCCCCTCACTGAGGGGTGCCGGCCCCTGTGTGGGAGTTTTTGTGGGATCAGTTGTAGGATCGTGGAATGGGGTGGGTGGGGAGGGACTTAAAGCCCATCCAGGGCCACCCCTGCCATGGAGCTGCTGGAATAAATCCAGAGGAGACCCCAGAGGTGCTCCAGGGCTGGAGCCAGGCTGGGAGAGCTGGGAATGATCCCCTGGAGAAGGGAAAAATCCAGGGAATGCTCAGAGTCCCTGAAGGGGCTCCAGGAGAGCTGGAGAGGGACTGGGGACAAGGGACAGAGGGACAGGAGCCAGGGCATGGCTCCCACTGGGAAAGGGGAGCTTGGGCTGGGATCTTGGCAAGGAATTCCTGGCTGGGCTGGAATTCCCAGATTTGCTGTGGCTGCCCCTGGATCCCTGGCAGTGCCCAAGGCCAGGTTGGGATGGATCTTTGAGCCACCCTGGGTGGTGGGAGGTGTCCCTGCCATGACAGGGTGACACTGGCTGGGATTTAGGGTCACTTCCCACCCAAACCATCCCATGGTTCTGTGCCCTCTCTCCATCACCGAGCTGTGGCTGCTTTGGGCTGTCCCTGGCTGCTGCTGCAGGAATTTGGGATCACGTCTTAGCGTGGCACCAGCCCCTGGGACTCTCCTGGCCCAGCAGGAAAACTTTCCCCTCACATTTGTATCCCTAACTTTTATTTTCTTTTCCCAGAACCATCCTTGACTCGGATAACTACAGCCCCATCCCGGTGTCAAATGAAGAAGCTTATAGGAAAATCGTTGGACAGTTCCCATTCCAGGATGCTGAACTTGAAAAGGTAAATCCTGGAATGGGGAGAGCAGCCTGGCCTGGCTGCTGGGGCAGGAGAACCTCACGCCCTTTGTGGGCATTGAAAGGATCCAAAAAACCCCTAAATTAACCACCCAGCCCAAATCAACAATAAAAGAGTAAGGAAAACAATAGGAAAGAACAAATATTCCTCCCATGGGATGCATTTCTCCTGGTGTGGATGAGGGAAGTGGGATTTGTGTTCCTCTCAGAATGTTCTGTCACACAGGTAGAAATACCCATTTCCAGTGGCAATTATTCCCATTTTTTGGACCCTGGGATTGACCTTTGTTGGTTTTAGTCTGATATTTAGAGAAAAAGAGCTCAGAAAAGTGGTGGATCTTGGCCTTTGCAGGAGCTTGGAAAACCAAAGCGTGTCCAGATGTTCCCTGAATTCCAAATCCTGCCTGGCCCCGTGCTCCACACCTGGCAGGCAGCAAGTCCAGCCCTGGTGATCCCAGTCAAGGGTTCAGATTCCTGTGTCCTGCCCCAAAATTCCCTCCTGGGGTTCAGCTGCTCCCTGCACCTCCCAGCTCTGAGTGCGGGGAGTAAAAACCGGAAAAATTTGGTGTTGGAAAATCTGTTTGCTCCTGGTTTTTGGGGTCGTTGGGCAGCACCTGGGGGAGGTGAGCAGGAAAACACCTCGTGTATGGTGGGGGAGGAATTCCAGGTCTTCCCAAGGAGGGAGGGGAAAGAAGTTGGGAGAGGGAATGAGGGAATGGCTCCAAGCCCCTCCTGCTCCAGGTGCCGTTTTGATTATCTGCTCTCCCCCTTGGCTGAAGCGTTGATAAAATCCAGGATAAATCCCAGAATTGCTTTGCCTGGCTGGAAGAGCCCTCCCTGCTGTCCCTGCTCTCCCTCTGGAGCTCTCCCCCGTGTTTTCCAGCAACCCTTCCCAAAGAAGTTCCCCTTCTCGGAGTTCGTGCCCAAGGTTTACAGCCAGATCAAGGAGTTCATCTACGCCTGCCTCAAGTTCTCCGAGGACCTGCACCTCAGGTGGGAAACTGAGAGAGCTCAGCCGAGTTCAAATATGGATCCTCACCCTTTGGATGGAGCCTGCCCAGGCTGGAAGTGGCTCTGGAGCAGTGGGATTTTGGCTGGCGGGATCCCAGCATGGTTTGGGATGGGAGGAACTTTGGGGATCATCTCCAAACCTGTCGGGATCTGAGGTATTGATGATTCTGAGGTTGTAGAAAGTCTCTGTCTGTCAGCCCCGCTGCCAAAGCAGAAGCCATAATTGGTCTGTGCTGTTTCAAGGTTGTTTATTCTGTTTATCTCTAACATGTTCTGCTGCCCTGCCGCAGCTCTGTCCTGCAGGGCAGCGTGTGGGGCTCTGCCCTCAGTGGGATGGTACAAACATTAAATACCACAAACTCCCTGTGCTGGATTTACAATAACGTGCCAATATCTGTCACCTACGTTGGACAGTGTGTCCCCAGCCTGAACCAACAGAAAAATGCCAACAGCACAGTGACACATGGAGGGCATGAAGAAGGAGAAAAAGGACAAGGCACACCCAATTTCCTCCATCTTGTCCCCTTTGGACCCCTAATCTAGAAATCTAAAATTTTACTTTTGCACCCGTGCCACACTTAATTATTACTTATATCAAACACTCAAAGCTGGTAATTCACCCTGTAAGATTGAAAACTCTTTTCCATGGACAGAGATCACAGCCAGTGTCTCTGGGGGCTCTGTCCAGGGGGGTTCCTGACCCCTGCCAGGGTCCCAGGGCAGCCAGATGGAAGCTCTGGACTCCCACACAAACCCATCCCAGGGACACCTTCCACGGTGCTCCAAGCCTCCTCCAGCCTGGCCTTGGACACTCCAGGGAATTCCACACTCCCAGGATGATCCCAGTTGGGGCTGTATCCTCCGAGATGTTTGTGTGTCGTTCTTTTAATAAATAAATGAAGGTGGGTGTCTGGAGAGCGGCCGATGGCCACTCATCAACATCTCTGGTCCCCCAGGCTCCCCTCGCTGCTCCCCAAGGAATGGGAATCCCGTGGTTCCATGGAAGTGTTGTCAGGAGCACACTGAGGGTTGGATTTTTGGTCAGGAACGAGTTTCAGCTGCTGGTTTCGTGCTTTTGTTGTTCTTGTTTCTTCGGGGAGTTTATATACAAATAATGTGATTTTTTTTTTTTTAATTTAAAAAAAAGCCAGCAAAATATTCCACATGTTTACCCTCCCTGCTGCATCCCGGGGTGCTTTGATGCTCGTTTCACCCATGTGTACGTGTGTGAGACTGAAAACCAGCGGGGTCTGCCAGGAGCTGGGGCTTTGCTGCTGCCTCAGCAGTGTTGGCAGCTCCAGAGGGGTTCAGAGATGAAGGACAAGGGTTTGGCTGGAAGGATTCATCCTCCTGCCCTCCCCGGGGCAAACACGAGGCTGGATTGGGGTGGGGGCAGTTCCAGCTCCTTGGGAGCTGCGTATCCTGGCCATGACCTGACACTGGAGCTGCTGGAGAGAGCCCAGGGAAAGCCCCAGAGCTGCTCCAGGGCTGGAGCCAGGCTGGGAGAGCTGGGAATGTTCCCCTGGAGAAGGGAAAATTCCAGGGAATGCTCAGAGTCCCTGGAGGGGCTCCAGGAGAGCTGGAGAGGGACTGGGGACAAGGGACAGAGGGACAGGAGCCAGGGAATGGCTCCCACTGGGAAAGGGGAGCTTGGGCTGGGATCTTGGCAAGGAATTCCTGGCTGGGCTGGAATTCTCAGATTTGCTGTGGCTGCCCCTGGATCCCTGGCAGTGCCCAAGGCCAGGTTGGACACTGGGGCTGGATCCACTTGGGATCATGGAAGATGTCCCTGGAGGTGGATCCAAATGGGATTTAAGTTCTCTTCCATCCCATCCCATCCCATCCCATCCCATCCCATCCCATCCCATCCCATCCCATCCCATCCCATCCCATCCCATCCCATCCCATCCCATCCCATCCCATCCCATCCCATCCCATCCCATCCCATCCCATCTCATCCCATCCCATTATCCCATCCCATTATCCCATCCCATTATCCCATCTCATCCCATCCCATCCTATCCCATCCCATTATCCCATCCCATTATCCCATCCCATCCCATCCCATCCCATCCCATCCCATCCCATCCCATCCCACGCATGCCCCGTGGCTGCTGTGGAGCTGGGACAGCTCTGGGCACTCAGCAGCCATTCCAGTTCCTGCCCCAGGCTCTCCAGGGCTTTCCTGCTCTACTTGGAGCCAGGAATGCCCCTTTGGAGAGGCCCTTTCCCTGCTTTGGGAGCTCGGGAGTTTCTCCTTCACCCCGGGCTCACCGTGGCCCCTCTCCCCGTGGGTGCTGCTCCCCACGGCCGGGGTGACCGCCTCTGTCCCCGTGGGTCCCTCCCGGGGCTCCCTCTGGACCTGTTATTAAAATTCCTTTCCACATTGGATTTTCCAGCCCTTTCGGAGCAGTGGGGGTGGGGAGGGGAGCCCCACTCCAGCTCTCTCGGAGCCAAACATTTGGAATATTTCTCTGCAAACCCCTGTTGACACTTTCTTCATTTCACCCTGACAGCTTGAATTAGGTTTTATTAGGGAGCTTGGCTACAAAGCCGGCAGCCAGTTCCCTTTTCTCTTCCCTTTCTTTTCTGCCCTGGCCCTGTCATTTACGGAGCACCCCGGAGTGTTGGGGGTCAGCCCGTCACTCACAGGGGCCCGAGGTCACCGCAGCTGCCACGGGATCCGGGACAGGAGCTGTCATCATCCCAGACAGTTCCCTTCAAGCCTTTTCCTGCCCGTGGCACAAAGTGCAGCTCCCATTTTATTTTCTCTTTCCCACCCCCCGCCATCGCCCCTAATTATTTTGTTAAAGCAGCTCCTTGTGTTTGTTGGACGGGAGGGTTCTCCTTTATTGTGGGAGTTATTTTCACTTGGGGAAAGTTTGGAGCTCCGGGTGGGTTTGTAGGGCTTGGGAATTTTATTATCAGCACTATTAATTGGATTAGAGCAGGAAAACTTCCTTTATCTCCTCAGCACTTTTGCCTTTTTACACGCTGAGTTCATCAGGTTGTCTTTAAAAGAACCTCCTTGCTTTTTCCAGTGGAATTTCCCCTTGGAAAATAGGGAGTATCTCTGGGAAGCAGTGGGTGGAAGGATGATCAGCTCTAATCCACCGAGGCTTGGGTTTTTTGCAAACAAAGCCCCAATCCTGGAAGAACTTGGGATACAAAGGGCAGGGACACCTTCCACTATCCCAGGCTGTTCCAAACCCCATCCAGCCCGGCCTTGGGCACTTCCAGGGATCCAGAAGCGGCCACAGCAAATTTGGGAACTCCACTCCAGGGCCTCGCTGCCCTCCCAGCCAGGAATTCCTTGCCAAGATCCCATCCAAGCCATTCCCACCCCCACTTGCAGCATCCCGACGTCCCCCAGCTTTCTCCCGGGATAACTCCAAGGTTGGCTTTTGTTTCCCACGTCAGTCCCAGCTTTGAGACGTGGCCCCTCTGCCAGTGGAGCAGGAGAAGGAGCCGAAGGTCAGGGGCTCGATTTACCGGGAGGAGCAGAGTTACGGCCCGGCCTTCCCGTCGGGAATTCCCTCTCCTGCCCCTCCTGCAGGAGGCAATTCCCGGTGCTGTCAGGGCTAATCCAGAGCCAAGCACAGATCCAAGGAGCCTCTGGCAGGGGGGGTTGGCAAAAGCTCCTGGAGAAAGGAGAGGTGGCACCGTGAGCACCTCGGAGGGGCTGAACCCCCAAATTCCAGCGGCGCTGCTGTTCCAGACACCTGGGAAAGGGCAGGAATGGGGGCAGGAGTTTCCAGTCTGGTGTTCCAGGGCTGGAGCCAGGCTGGGAGAGCTGGGAATGTTCCCCTGGAGAAGGGAAAATTCCAGGGAATGCTCAGAGTCCCTGGAGGGGCTCCAAGAGAGCTGGAGAGGGACTGGGGACAAGGGACAGAGGGACAGGAGCCAGGGAATGGCTCCCACTGGGAAAGGGGAGCTTGGGCTGGGATCTTGGCAAGGAATTCCTGGCTGGGAGGGTGGGGAGGGGCTGGGCTGGAATTCCCAGATTTGCTGTGGCTGCCCCTGGATCCCTGGCAGTGCCCAAGGCCAGGTTGGACACTGGGCTTGGATCCACCTGGGATAGTGGGATGTGTCTTGCCCATGGATGGCGTTGGGAATGGGGTGGGATTTAAGGTCTCTTCCCACCCAAACCATTGTGGGAGATGGGAGCTGTGCTGTGCTGAGGAGCCCCTGTGTGGAAATCCAGGGATCATTGGAAGTGTGTCCATCTAAACCCATTCCCTGTGACCTCGCTCACTCTGCAATTTTTCCCATTTCCTTTTGAGATCCCTTCCAGCCCAGACCATTCCGTGGTTCTGTAAATTTGTCTGAAAGCCCAGGAAGGGCTGAGAGGGGGATTTTGGGGGGATTTAATTTGGGTTTTCACCACTGGAGATCTTTTCCCTTGTAAATTGATTTGATTTCCCGTGCAAATCCCCAGTTTTGGGGTTGTGCTGATGCCATGTGTGGCTCTCCCTTGGACCAGCCCCTCGTGGATGTGAGGCTGAGGAATGTGGGATTTGCAGGTGTTAATTCACCTTTCCTCCTGGAACATGGATAAAAAGGCCTGAATTTGTTGTGTTTTGATGCATTTCAAACATCAGCTCCTGTGGGCACTGCCCAGGGGTGAGGCAGGGGACAGTCAGGGAGGAGGATGAGGAGAATTCCCAGGGAGTTTTTTTTTTTCCATGGAGCATCTTGGAAGAAAAAGATGCTCCACACCCATTTCTCAGCCATGAAATTTAAAGGATGGAGATGATCTGTACGGTTCCCTCCAACCCAAACCACTCTGGGATTCTCTGGCTCTTCATCGAACAACCAAATTTAAAATTGCTCTTTGACTTTGACTTTGCAGCTCCACGGAAGTCGACGACATGATCAGAAAATCCACAAACCTGCTGCTGACCCGGACCCTGAGCAACTGTTTACAGAACGTCATCAAGAGGAAAAACGTCGGCCTGACGGAGGTGGGATGTGGATTCCCTCGGGAATGGAGCCACAGGGAAGGGATGGATGGGATCTTGGCAGGGAATTCCGGGCAGGGAGGGGCTGGGCTGGAATTCCCAGATTTGCTGCCCCTGGATCCCTGGCAGTGCCCAAGGCCAGGTTGGACACTGGGGTTGGCTCCACCTGGGATAGCAGGAGGTGTTGGGCTTGGAATTCCATCATCTTTGAGGTCCCTTCCAAGCCAAACCATTCCTGGATTTTTTGATTCCAGGACAGGTCGACGGGAAGTCCCTTGGAGCTCCTTCAGGCACCTTTAGAGGTGATGTTTTGGAGCATCCCATGAAATGTTTGCCTGGAAAACTGCTCAGAGTTGTTGTACAAAGTGAGGAGCTTTAGCTTGTGGGAAAGTGAAGAGATTTCTCTGCTATTGGTTGTGAATTCTGCCCTCTACATTTTGGGCAATGTTACAGATTTGACTTAAAGTCACAGGACTTCAGAGAGGACCAGAGATGATCCAAGAGGGGAATGGGAGGGAATGGGAGATCAATCCTCATTTTCTGGTGATGTTTGAGTGGCTTCAGCACTTTGCTGCAGCATAAACCCTAATTTGGGATTTTCTTTCCAAGATCCATTCTTTTTATTGTGCAAAATCCAGTTTCTGATGATTTTAATCCATGTAAATCTGCAGGTCCCCAGAACAGCTGGGAACTCTGGGTATTAAACGAGGTGTAACTAATTGCTGGTACTAAAAAGGAGTTACTAATTGTTTACTTAATTACTACTGCCTTGCATCATATCAACCAAGGCTTTCCCTTCCCAACTTCTCATTTCTCCCAGACATCCCACAGCTTCTGTGGACACCCAGTTCCAGTTCTGCACCTTTCCAGTGTCTCTTTTCCTTCCCAGTGCCCAGGCTGAACCTCCCAAGGTGCCACCCCCACCCTTCTGATGTCACCAGCACCAGTGCTGGGATCTTTGTGGTGTCACTTGACAATTTCTGCACCCGCACCTTTGAAATCACCGATGAATCCCACCTCCTTCAGACCTGGGAGTGTTTCCAAGCCCTTCCTGCACGGGAGGTGGCTCCAGACAGCCCCACCACGCTCCAGCAGTGACATGACACCAGCCCAGGGCGTTCTGCTGCCCCAGGGCTGGCAGAGATCTGCTCACCCCACACCTGCCAGAGCCAAACCTCGCGGTTCCTTTGTTCAGGGCCCGTGCGATGCTGCTCGGTGTCACTCAAGTTTGGGTTATTTTTCGGGTTCAGTGGCAGCCAGGAGCCTCCTGATGTGTCCTGGCAGATTTTCGGGGAGCCCTGAGTGACAGCTCAATGTAGGAAAGTCCTCAAGAAGAAAAAATCGCCTCCTGTGGTATTAGTGGCTGTCATGGGAATTGCTTCCCCCCCTAAAATTATCTTGAATTTAGGTGTTGCTAAAGGAGGGAGCCTGGAGCCCATAGAAAAGCTCGGGGTGTTTGCACAGCGTCAGGGTGGCATGGGATTGGCACGGCTTCGCTGGCAGCGGGGCTGGAACCCTTCTTTGCCTTCCCAGCTGGTGCAGATCATCATCAACACCACCCACCTGGAGAAATCCTGCAAGTTCCTGGAGGAGTTCATCACCAACATCACCAACGTCCTGCCCGAAACCGTCCACACCACCAAACTCTACGGGACCACCACCTTCAAGGTGAGCGGGGCGGGGGTCCCAGCCCTGGGTGGGGGCAGCTGGGCTGAGCCCAAGGATGGTTCTGTGCCCTTCTGGGGAGGTTGCGCCATCGCTTTGGGTTTGTCCCTCGGAGCGTTGCTCCCGTTGACGTCGTGGGAGGTTTCTGTCCTTAATTTGCAGCCCTAATTAGCTAAAGGATTAAGGAGATCTTGAACAAAAGCCTGATAATTTATTTCTTATTTAAATAAATCCTCAATTTGCTGTTTCACTACTGTGTCACGGACACCAGGTTCCTCTTCCACCCAGGAGAAAGACTTCCAGAATTTGTATTTCTCCAGCTTTCCACTCCTTTTAGCAGCATCCCCTAAAAATCAGGGCTGACAGAAACTCCCAGATTTTCCAGCCTTTAAATCCCACTCCAGGAGTGCTCCCCCAGGTGCTTTACATGGGATTTGGTCGGGCCAAGTGTGGGGTGTCTGAATTCTGTCCGTGGAGATCCAGAGGTGGGAACAGCAGGAATGGGTTTGGTGAGGCTTTGCCTTGGGGTGGCTCAGTCTTGTGTCCCCAAGGAATTCCATCCTGGCTTTTTCCAGCTGTTTGGGCTGCAGCTGAGTGTCCTGCCCTCGTCCTGACCCCCAGCCCTGCGGTTAGGTCGGGTTTCCACAGGGGATGTTCTGAGCTGTAGGAAGCCACAGGGATCCTCAACTCAAATTCCTGTCCGAGCTCCAGAGAAAACGGAGACCCTTTAGGTTAAAAATCAGGATTTGGGGCCGGGTCCGTTTTGCTGCTTGAACTAGGTGCCCACAGAGGTGGTGGAGGCCTCATCCCTGGAAAAATCCAAGGCCATGGCTCTTGATCCAGTTGAAGATGTCTCCCAGAGAAGTAAACATGCAAATAAATCCCAGCAATTCCAAATATCAAGTGGTTACCATCATCTCTCACAATGCCTACTCCAAAGGAAGAAGTAAGGATTGAAATTCCTGCTTGAGGCCTAGAAAAAGTGGAGACTGTAGGCCAATCCACCAGCCAGGATTCTGGGATTATTTCCATCCCGGGGTGGAACCACAACCTTGGTGTTACCAACACCAGGATCCCACCGCTGGAGCCAGCCTCTCTCCATCTCCTCTGGATTTGTCCTCACATCATGCTGGGGGGCAGAATCCAGCTTGGTCCTCCCCACCACAGCCTGGTGCTTTAGGATGGTGTCAAATCCCAGCCTAAGGCTGGTGTGGGGACTCAGTGCTGTGGAATCCCCCATCCCATGTAGGATTTTGGTGTAGTGGTGCCCCCATTCCATGTAGGATTTTGCTGGTTTGGAGCCCCCATCCTATTTGGAGCCCCCATCTCATGGAGGATTTTGGTGGTGTGGAGCCCCATTCCCAATTAGGATTTTGGTGGAGCCCCCATCCCCTGTGGGATTTTGCTGGTTTGGAGTCGCCATCCCATGTGGGGTCTCAGTTGGGGTGTGCAGCCCCCATCCCATGGAGGATTTTGGTGGAGTGGAGCCCCCATCCCATGTGGGATTTTTCTGGTTTGGAGCCCATATCCAATGTAGGATTTCAGTGGTGTGGAGCCCCCATCCCATGTGGGGTCCTGGTGGTGTGGAGCCCCCATTCCACATAGGGTCCTGGTGGTGTGGAACTCTCATCCCATGTAGGGTCTCAATGGTATGAAGCCCCCATCCCATGTAGGGTCTCAGTGGGGGTGTGGAGCCCCCATCCTCTGTAGGATTTTGCTGGTTTGAACCCCCATCCCACGTGGGGTCTCAGTTTTATGGAGCCCCCATCCCATGTAGGATTTTGGTGGTTTGGAGCCCCCATCCCATATAGGATTTTGGTGGTTTGGGGCCCCTATTCCCTGTAGGATTTTGCTCATTTGGAGCCCCCATCCCCTGTAGGATTTTGCTGGTTTGGAGCCCGCATCCCACATGGGGTCTCAGTTTTATGGAGCCCCCATCCCATGTAGGATTTTGGTGGTTTGGAGCCCCCATCCCATGTAGGATTTTTGTGATTTGGAGCCCCCATCCCCTGTAGGATTTCAGTGGTTTGGAGCCCCCATTCCATGTAGGATTTTGGTGGTTTGGAGCCCCCATCCCCTGTAGGATTTTGGTGGTTTGGAGCCCCCATCCCATGTAAGATTTTGCTGGTTTGAAGCCCCCATCCCACATGGGGTCTCAGTTTGGTGGAGCCCACATCCCCTGTAGGATTTTGCTGGTTTGGAGCCCCCATCCCACGTGGGGTCTCTGTGGTGTGGAGTCCCCATCCCATATAGGATTTTGGTGGTTTGGAGCCCCTATCCCCTGTAGGATTTTGCTGGTTTGGAGTCCCCATCCCATATAGGATTTTGGTGGTTTGGAGCCCCTATCCCCTGTAGGATTTTGCTGGTTTGGAGCCCCTATCCCCTTTAGGATTTTGGTGGTTTGGAGCCCCCATCCCCTGTAGGATTTTGCTGGTTTGGAGCCCCCATCCCCTGTAGGATTTTGGTGGTTTGGAGCCCCAATCCCATGTAAGATTTTGCTGGGTTGAAGCCCCCATCCCACATGGGGTCTCAGTTTTATGGAGCCCACGTCCCCTGTAGGATTTTGCTGGTTTGGAGCGCCTATCCCATATAGGATTTTGCTGGTTTGGAGCCCCCATCCCATGTAGGATTTCGGTGGTTTGGAGCCCCCATCCCCTGTAGGATTTTGCTGGTTTGGAGCCCCCATCCCATGTAAGATTTTGCTGGTTTGGAGCCCCCATCCCCTGTAGGATTTTGCTGGTTTGGAGCCTCCATCCCATGTAGGATTTTTCCCCCATCCCACGTCCTGTCTCGTTCCAGGACGCCCGGCACGCCGCCGAGGAGGAGATCTACACCAACCTCAACCAGAAGATCGACCAGTTCCTGCAGCTGGCTGACTACGACTGGATGGCCCCGGAGCCGGGCAGCCGGGCCAGCGACTACCTGGTGGATCTCATCGGCTTCCTGCGCAGCACCTTCGCCGTGTTCACCCACCTCCCGGTGAGCCTCGTCCCTCCTGCTCCCGGGGCAGCTCCGGCGTGCTGGGCTGTGCTGGGAACGGGGCCTGGTGCTGCTGGGGGATGTAGGAAAAATTCTGGTTTTAAAAGAACGTGTTTCACCTGTCTCCACAAGCTGGGCTGCGGGAGGACTCTCCCAGTTATTTGCCAGTCTCGTTTTGTGGGATTGAGGCTCTATCCCAACCCACCGTGTGCCAGCAGGATGGTAATTTATTCCTCACCTGTATTTTAGATATTTTAACTTCCAGTTAATGCCCATCCAGGATTTTTTTTTTCCCATAAAATCCAGCCTATGATCGCCTTACTGGAACTACAGCTGCATTTCCAAGTGTTTGTCAAGTCCCTGATGCCTCCCATCCCAATATTGCTCCCTTGGAAGGCACCATATGTTTCTTTCTTCTCTCTGCTGTCTCAAGTCCCTGTGTTTATGCTGCTGTTGCCATCAGAAATGTGCTTTATGTTGCTTTTTGCAGTTGGCTGAGTGGTGTCTCATTGGTAGGAAAAACCCAATCACCAGGGAGATTCCTTTTTTGCTCCAGCAGCTTTTTCCCCTCCTCTAAATGGGATTTGTTTTGAGCTGTGTGGATGCACTCTCGGGAGGAGCTGGGATCAGCAGGTATTTTGAAACAGCAAATCCCCTGAAGTCTGTGGTTGTTCTAAAAGCAATTTCAGATCTTTCTTTCTTTACGAAACTGGGATTTATTTCCTGCTTTCACGAGCTGGGAGTAAACAGGAAGGGGAGATTTAATATTCCCCAGTGGCGGCTTCCTTCGTTCTGTCCGTGCCCTGGGGTTCTCCTCTGGAAGGAGGTCCCACCCTCCAGAGCTGTTTTGGGAGGTGTCACACCCCCAGACTGCGCTGGCTCGTGTCTTTGGGGATCCCCATCCCAGCAGGAAGATCTGGGAGCAGGGGGGAGCTCTGGCTGATTTGCTGTGGGGGAGAAACCCCCAAAAGGGGACTGGAAGTGGCTTCCCTGCTCCTCTGCACCTGTGTTGAGGAGAAGTTATCCTCAGCTCTGTTATCAGTGGGACAAACTGGTAAATGAACTGATAAATGAAGTGTTGAGCAGAGAGGTGGGCAGGACTGGTTTGTCCCAAATGTCCCCAAGCAAGCGTCCCGTGGCAGGTGCCTCCTGGAGCCAGGAGATGCTGGAAATGGGTGGATTTCTCCTGGAAAAAAGGAGCTGTGGGTTGGTTCAGCACCTGGAGGCTTCCACCCATCACGCTGGGAATACTCAGGAGCCAGTAATGGAATTTGACAGGGAGATTGGTCTCTGCAGCAGAGCATGAAGCAGCAGAGATGGGCTGCGGGGGGATGCCCACAGTGATTTATGAGGTGGGCCGGGAGTGATTTATCTTCCTTAAATATTAATGTTTCCTTTTGGAGCCAGTCAGGGTTGGTTTGGAGGCTGGGAGGACTTGAATTGGTCTAAAAAGCACCAGGACGGATCGAGGCAGCCTTTTGTCTTCCAGAATTGGGTTTGAAAAGCCTCAGCTGAGGAGAAGTTTGGGTTTGCTGGGCAGCCCCTGAGCTCCAGAGCCCCCCCAAAGCCTGGGGAGACAGGGGAGGTGCCTCAGCCTGGTTTGGGCAGCTGCAGGTCTGGTTCAAAGCTTTGTGGGAGCTGCAGGTTGGGGATTTTTTAATATTGATTGGAGCTTTTTTCCCAAATTGTGGGTGAGAGCAAGCCAGGAAGGACCAGGCTGCATCCCAAAGGCCTCCACATCCTCTGGTGTCAAGGTTTTTCATCCCTGTAAGGTTCAGGGAATTTTCCAGTGGCTGATTTAGGAGCACACTGAAATTCCTGGGCTTTGCTACTGAAGTGCAGGAGATAAAACTGTTGCCCAAATCCATGTAAAAAACGATGGAGGTGTTTGTTAAAGCACCAAAAATGTGAGATGAGCGTCAGCTGGGGAAGGAAGGAGCGAGAAGGGTGAAGGAACATTCCCAAAAGAGTGAATTCCAGCTCTAGAAGGAAATTCAGGGTTCTGGTGACAAGGTAGAGCTGATCCAAACCCATCCTAATCCAACAGCATGAGAGGTGTGATTGGAAATAAAGCACAGCAGTTTTGGGGTCTGACAGGAGCTGCTGCCCTGTTTGAGATGAGTTTTCAGCCTGGTCCCATAAAATCCAGGATTTCCACGCTGCCCGTAGCTCCAGGACTGTGCCCCATCCTGGGGTGAGGTGTCCTTGGAGCCCCTTCGTTCCTGTTCTCCTGCCTGGTTTGGAAATGCCCCCATCTTCCAGAGCTGATTCCTACTGAATTTATGGGATTTTGGCCAAGTGAAAAGTGTTCTCCTGGTGTTGGAGACCTTTTGTCCCAGCTGGAATGACACCTCCACCTGCCCATCAGGGAACCTCAGCCTGGGTGTGTCAGAGTTCCTGGGCTAAAATTCCACCTCCAAAAAGCCCCATCAGGGAAAAAAAACTGATCCCAAAGTCCCGAGGCTGCAGAAACGCACTGAGACAGGGCTGAGTAATCCCATTGTCCCGAGGGAGCTGCAGGAAAACCTCTGCAGGTCACGGCTCCAGCCGGCCCCAGGGCAGCTCAAGTGGCCTTGGAATATCCTTGGGACTCAACACTGGAGAGGGGCTGAAGAGGAGCTGAAAGGAATCTCAGCTGGGGTTTAGGGTTAGGGTTTATGTTTCCCTCTTTAGGCTGAATTTTCCTGTGTTTCTTGGGAATCCCAGAATTATTGTGTTGAACAGTTTGGGTTTAAAGGTTACCTGCTCCAGGGACCTCCAGTAAGCAGCGACATCTTCAACTGGATCAGGTTATCCATAGCTTTGGCCTTGGATTTTTTTCCAAGGGTGAGGCTTCCACCTTTTCTCTGGGCATCCAGCAAAAATTATCCAGCCCAAAATCCTGGGTAAAGTCTCTTTTTAAATCTCCTTTTCTAGGCCTCAAGAAGGAATTTCAGTTCTTAGTTCTTCCTTTGGAGTAGGCATTGTGAGAGATGGTGGAAACTGGGATACTGGGAATTCCTGGGATTTGCATGTTCCAGTTTTCTGGGAGACATCTTCAACTGGATCAAGCTGTCCAGAGCCATGGCCTTGGATTTTTCCAGGGATGAGGCCTCCACCACCTCTGTGAGCACCTAGTTCAAGCAGCAAAACGGACCCAGCCCCAAATCCTGATTTTTAACCTAAAGGGTCTCATCTTTCTCTGGAGTTCAGGCAGGAATTTGAGTCCCTAATTTCTCCTTTGGAGTAGGCATTGTGGGAGGTGATGAAAACCACTTGATTTTGGGAATTTCTGGGATTTATTGGCACGTTGCAGTTTTCTGGAGGACATCAACTGGATCAGGTGTTCCAGAGGCATGGTCTTGGATTTTTGCAGGATTGAGGCCTCCACCACCTCTGTGGGCAGCCAGCAAAAAATAACCCAAAAATAATCCCAAAATCCTGGCTGGTGGATTGGCCTAAAGTCTCTTTTTCTAGGCCTCAAGCAGGAAATCCAGTCCTTAGTTTTTCCTTTGGAGTAGGCATTGTGGGAGGTGATGGAAACCACTTGATTTTGGGAATTCCTGGGATTTATTTGCACGTTGCACTTCTCTGGGGGGACATCTTCAACTGGATCAGGCTGTCCAGAGCCATGGCCTTGGATTTTTGCAGGGTTGAGGCCTCCACCACCTCTGTGGGCAGCCAGCAAAAATAACCCAAAAATAATCCAAAATCCTGGTGCAGCGGCCTAAAGAGCCTCCACTTTTTCTAGGCCTTGCAATCCCAGATTTTTCCTTTGGAGTAGGCATTGTGGGAGATGATGAAAACCACTTGATTTTGGGGAATTCCTGGAATTTATTTGCACATTGCAGTTTTCTGGGGGACGCTGAGCCCTCACCAGTGCCGTGGGGACAGCGTGTGCCGGGGGGCAGGAAAAGTTCACGGAGAACTTCCCGGGGTTTTGGTGCATGCCAGTGCTGCATGAAACGGTCATGGTGGTTTGGAGCCACAATTCCAGAATGCTCCACTAAGTGCCCAAAAATGTCTCCGAGCAAATAAAACGCTGATGGGAATCAAAGGATAATTAACATTTGGCTCCCGAGGCCGCCCTCTTCCTGCGTTAACCAGGGAGAGTCGGTTCCTGCTGCTGCTGCTGCTGCTGTGGAGCTCATTAATATGGGATGCTCGGGTCTCCTTTAAAAGAAAAACCTCTTTTTTTAAGGGGAAAAAAAAATTTAGTACAAAAAGTATTTTAGGCCTTAAAAAAAAAGAAAAAAAAAAACTGGTTTCTGGTTTTCAGCAAGCAAAGGGCCACGGCCTCCAAAAATGAACATTTCCAGCCTAGGACTTTGCAAAGAATGACTGAAAAAGCCTTTTGTCTTTGATGGCTGATTGTTGTTTTTATTTCTTGTTGGACAAGTTAATGTAAATGGCATTGACAGGGCTACTCCAAACACACTGATTTGTTGACATTAAGCTCCTCAGAGATGGAGGGTTGTGTCAACACCTCCCCTGAACTGTCAGGTTAACAAAGCAAGGATGTTTTCTTGGGGGAGGGGAGCAGGGCTGGGGGAAGGGGGGGGTGTTTTGTTTTTATTTTCAGTTTCCTTTAATCCTCTGTTAGTCTTGTATCTCGATAACCTCCTTTGGAAGGGAATCAGGGCAGGTCAAGAGGTGAGGCTGACCTGGGAAGGGGAAGCAATCTTTCAGCGATCCAACAAATCCAACCTCAGCCGTGGAGCACTTCAGTGTGAACCCTCTGCAGAGGGCTTTTTTTTCCCCCCCACTATTTTTTTCCCCTTTTCTGCTTATTTTTGCCAGATGGCAGGCACAGATTTCAGCTGGAGCCGTGATGGTTTTTTGCCTTCTCTTGGCATCTCTTCCCCCCTCGCAAACGAACGGCCCCGGCAGCTCTTGCTCTGGTAGAAAGAGCTTTGCAAGTGTTTATTTTCTTTCCAAAGAGAACGATTGCCTGTGTTTTTATTTGAAAAGTCAAATCCCTCTGGAATATTTATAAGCCAAGGCCCTGTGCATGGAAGCGAAATGCCATGAACTTTGCACCAACCACAGCCTCGGCCGCGCTGGGAGGGACCCAAGTGGAAAATAACCATCAGGAAAACATCTCAGGAGCACCAGAGTCACCTCTGGGTTTGCACAAGTCCAGTGTGTGCTTAAATAACTCCCCTGGCCTTTGGAAGAGCTGAGACAGCCCTGCTGGAGCTGATCCCAGCTGTCACTCCCAGGGTTTGGGATCCATCACCTCTTGCAGGTGGGATTGCTGAGGAACAGGGATGGGGACGTGCGGAGCAGACAGGAGAGCTGGAGAGGGGACTCGGGATGGAGGGACAGGACACAGGGAATGGCTTCCCACTGCCAGAGGGCAGGGATAGATGGAATATTGGCAAGGAATTCCTGGCTGGGAGGGTGGGGAGGGGCTAGGCTGGAATTCCCAGAGCAGCTGTGGCTGCCCCTGGATCGTGCCCAAAGCCAGGCTGGACACCAGGGCTTGGATCCACCTGGGACAATGGGAGATGTTTGAATCAGGATGCCCTTTAAGGTCCCTTACAGCCCAACCCATTCCAGGAATCTGTGACAGAATGACAACAAAACCGCTCTTGTGGCACTTTATTCTCCTCCTCCTCTTCCTTCTCCTCCTCCAAGCCGCTCCCAGGAGCCCCATTTTGCTTTCCCAATCCTTTGCCAGCGTGGGAGCCGCCATTGGATCTCTGGGGGGTGGTGGGCGCCTCTGATGCCCTTTGGGCTCCTTTCTGCCTCTGTCCTGTTGCTCTGCTCTCTTCTGCCTTTGACCCTGACCTCCTGTGTTGTCCTCTGTAGGGGCAGGTAGATGTCCACTCTACCATGTCGGTGAGTACTGGACGCTGCGTCCCGCGCTTGGCTCTGCTCCGCTCACACCTCCACGCTCAGGGGGGAGTTGAACCAGAAAAAGTCCTCTGTGTCAGCCAGGAGGAAAGGAAAAGGTGGACTGAAAGTTGAGATCAATGGGATGAATAATTCTGGGATAAATCAGAGAGCAAAGAAAAGGGTTTCCTTCCCAGTGGGTCTCTAAATTGTTTGTTTCAGCGCATTGAAATGGCTCCTTTTATCACCCTGGAATACCTAAATCTGCAGGGAATTAGGGGGAATGCCTGATATTAAGGAAACCTGGATTCTCACACTCTGCTCCCAAGAGAAAAGATGTTTGTAAAAGCCATGCTCCTTTTTCAGAGAAATTCCCCATGGGGATTCCAGCTGGAAATTCCTCCTGGTTTGAGGGACTGGAGCACTAAGCCTTTCCTCAGACTGGAGTGGGAATGTCCAAAGCCAGGCTGGATGGGGCTTGGAGCAACCTGGGGTGGTGGAAGGTGTCCTGCCATGGCAGGGGGTGGGACTGGATCATCTTCAAGGTCCCTCCCATCCCAAACCACTCTGGGATTCCATGGTTTTCTCCAGAAAATAATGCCGATTCTTGACATGGGCCATCTCCCAAAATCAGTTTGGATTTGGCCAATTAGTACCAAAATAAAGCCAAGAAGGCTCTGAGACCTTCCTTCTGGTTCAGCAACCCCCTGTGATTGTTGTCATCTCCGCTTGTTCCATGCGCGGGAGGAAAACTCGCGGCATTTCCAGCGATGGACGGCAAACAAAGTGCTCCGCAGCCACCTTGTTTCCTCTATTCCCACGGCTGCAAACCCAGCCCGTGGGAGCAAAACCCAGCTGGGAATTCTGTGGGGTTGTCACATTCAGAGCCTGGACCCTGCTTCTGCTTTCCAGCCTGTATTCTTTGCTCTTCGTGGGAATCCCGACCGATATTCCCTGCTCCGGTGGGATGCTTGTGCCCCTTTCCCTGGAAACCGAGCCTGGCTAAGCCTGGATTATTTGCAGGCTCCGGGCACCTGGGGGGTTTCTAAGTCAAATCCCAAACCTGGGGGGTTTCTAAGGCCTCAAATCAACGCCAGCTCCTGGAGAGAAGGAGCCTCGTTAAAGCCATCCCGGGATGCTCCAGGCATTCCCTGCAGCCAGGGGTTTCCAGGAGCGCTGTTGGATGCCAGGCATCCTCCGTGCTGTCCTCAGGGCGTAGCCCAAGAGGAAAAGATGCAAAAAGCCCTTTTCCCTCTGGCTTTTCCAGGCTTGGAGCTGTTTGGAAGCCAGATGTATTTATTTCTTTAATTGGATCCAGTGCCTAGACAGCTCTGGAGTCAGCTTCCTACGGAGAGGGGGGCATTACTTTCATTAAGGTAAATCAATGGAAAATAATACCTGGAGCTCCCCTGGAAAGGGTCAGGGATGGAGTAATCCCTTTATATGGCGGGGCTTTACCAGCCTGCTCTTAGTCAGGCGTGTTCTTAACGGCAACAAATCCCAGTTTTCCTTCCTTTTATCCCTCCTAATTTTCTGTTCTCTGCCTAGTTGGGATTAATTGGCGGGAATAAATCACGGAAAAGCAGGGAAAATAAAAATGGGATCACGCAAAGTAGCAGGACAAAGGAGGAATTCTAGCAGAGTTTAATTTGTCCGGTGGGAAGTTGTTGTGGCTGATCCTGGATGTTTAAAAGTTAAAAAAATGTGGGATGCAGACATGGACAGGGCGTGAGCAGCATCCAGAATCTTCCATGTCTGGGGCTTTCCACTCCAGAGGTGATCCAAGTCTTTTAGGGGATTGCTTGGCCTGAATGAATGTTCAGCGAAATTCCTGTAAAACAGGGATGCCGTGAAGGGGAGAGGATGGACTGGTGGCTGGAGAAGCCCATTCCTGGTTTCCCAAATATTTGTCAGGATTGAGGAGTCGAAACAGGAGCTGGTGGTGCTTTAAAACAAGGAGCAGAGTGTCCAAATCCCATGGATTTGGTAGTGCTGGATGGGGCAGGCTGACCCCTGATTTACCCAGGAGCTCTGTAAACTCGAGCCTGGCTAAGCTGGGTTATCTGGAATTCCAAGGTTTCCTTGTGTGCTTTCAGCAGTTGGAAAATTAATGGAAGCCAAAATGCCCAGTCCCATAAATCCTTTAAACCAGGGCGTGCTTCCGTGGGTATTGTTCCCTCTGTGGAGTCACTGTGGCATGTCTGGCTTGGAATTTGGTTTTCCAAGCTGGGATTGAGGAAGCTGTTGGATGCCTTCTCTTGCCTGCACCTCCATCCATAAGGAATGTGTGGCACAGGGAATCCAGCAGCCAAAATTCCAGCCCTGTTGTATGAAATCCAAACGTGCCTTCTCCTTCCTACTCCAGAGCCCCCACCTGGACCTTCCAAAAATCCTACCAGGAGGTGAAGTTTGGGTTGGGGTTCTTGTACCCTTTAGGAAATTTAGGGGAAATCATAAAATTTACAATTTCCTGCTTTCCTCTTCTTTCATCTGTTGTTCTTCCAAGGGCTCTTAAGTTGGGAATGTGGAAAGGGACATCCATGAACAGCTTCCAAAGCTCTCCACACCTTCCTTAACCCATCCACGGGAGGAGCCCCAGCTGCCCTGGGGGAGCCCAAACCTTTGGGGGGTCCCCGTGCAGGGGACACCTGAGGGTGCTCAGAGAAGTTGGGTGCTCGGGATCGTCGCTTGGAGCCACCAACCATGGCTGATGCCACCAGTGTGGGTGAAGAGGATTTCGTGACCTTCACAGGGTCCCTTTCCACAAATGTTTTCCCTGGATCTGACAGCCTTGGATAGATGGAATAGCAGGAGTGGGAAAAACGTCTCAAAGTGCAGATCCCTATGGAATTGTCATCATCCTCTGGAGTTTTTTGTTGGGTTTCCTGAAGAGCAAGAAATGAGAAGAACCTGAAGGGTTAATGGAAAACCAATCACTAATTCCTACAGCTTTCCTCATCTCTCTGTTTCATCCATCTTCTGCATGGTTTTTAGCTATAGCACCTCAATTTCCAAATGGAAATTTAAGCTGTGATTCAGATTTTGGGAAAAGACAAAACGAGCCGAAGGTTCGGATGCCGCTTCTGTTGGTCACTGGGGTCTGGAAAAACCTCTTGGCCTGAGCTTTGCTGGCTCAGGGAGTAGCCGTGGAGTGGGTGGGTTGGGATTTGTCCTTGGAGCTCATCCTTTTTTCCAGTCTGTTCACCATCTGGGCCGCAGTGGGGCAGTGGTTGCGTCTCCTCCGGGCCCCACGCGTCACCCCCACGCGCTGAGCCTTCCCCCAGCATCCCAACGAGCGGGAATCTGCGTAAACGGGGGATCTGGAGCATCCCTGTGTGTGCAGAGGGTGAGGAACCCCCGGGGTCGCTGTCCCAGAAGGAAGACGAGCGCTCCAAACTTCTGGATCTTTCCTTTTTTCTCCGACGTCGAATTATAATTACAAAATTATTTCGGGATGATGGAGCGATTCAAGTCCCTCTCTTTAAGTTTTCCTGCTGCCGTAATTGGCAGCTCTGCCCCGATAAATCAGCAGAAACAAACGTGGTTCTTGCTCTTCATAAGTGAGGGAAAAAATAAAAAAAGAATCTGCATTTAATCAGCTTTTTGTTTCCAAGATGGCAGCTGCTTTGTATTTAATGGAAAATCAGGCTCTTCCCAATGGAAAGAATGTTATTCCCAAAGCGAATACAAAAGAAAATAAAACCCACAAAAGAAGAGGATGAAATATGTCCATTTTTTTTTCCCTTTTTTTTTTTTTGGTCTCGTTCGTTCCAGTTTGGAGCCGTGCGCTCCGATCACGGCTGGGCCACGGCTCTGCTTTCCATCAAGGAACTGGGAAAGTCTCGGATCCTGGGCACGAGGACCAGGAGAGAGCCTTGGGAGACACGAATAGGACCAAAAAAATGAAGGCTGCTTCATGTTCCTTGTGTACCTTTTGGCTCTGGGGAGATTTACATGGAATATTGGGAAGGAATTCTTCCCTGTGAGGGTGGTGAGGCCCTGGAATGGAATTCCCAGATTTGCTGTGGCTGCCCCCAGATCCCTGGAAGTGTCCAAGGCCAGGTTGGATATTGGGACTTGGATCCAGCTGGGATAGTGGGAGGTGTCCTGCCCGTGGCAGGGTGGGAATGGGGTGGGATTTAAGGTCTCTTCCCACCCAAACCATTCCAGGCTTCTGTGATTTTGATGCCAGCCTCAATTTCCAGCCTGGTGGGACAGTTGGGATCAGGTGATTCTGTGGTTTTTGAGTGCCTGCACCTAAAACCCAGTGGCAAACCAGGATGAGGGCTGTAATTCCTAGAATAATTCCTAGAATAATTCCTAGAGTATTTCCTGGAGTTTCTCAGGCCGTGACGTTGTCCCACCCCAAACTGGAGCCGGATGCTCCAGATGATTTTGGGTGATCCAGGTTCTGCACCCAACAATTCCCATGTTCTTGACTCCCAAAAAACATTTAATTAAAAATGCCCTGCCCTGCCCTTGGATGTTGAGCAAGCAAAAAGACAGAGATCATGGAATCTTCTGTTTCCTTGGATTTTTGCGTATGCGCGTATCCAAATTTCCCCAGCCGCTTCCTGGCTTTGCTGCAATCCCTGGAGCTTCCAGAGGAGATCTCTGCCCACTTTGGGCTCTTTGGGCTCCAAAGGAGCTGCCCTGTGCTCGGCCGTGGCAGCTGCATCCCGAGGGGCTTCCCTTCCCCACGCCCTGCCCTCCTTCTGTGTATTTATTTTCCTGTTTAACAAAAATCCTGAAGCAGAGATTCGGGATTTGTGGCTCTGACAGAGGGACAAATTGTGTGTTCCTGTGCCTGCTCATATCCCAGAGCTGCTGATATCCCGAATCCCACGATTTCCAACTTCCTGAGTTGTGCTTTTGCTGTTGGGTGTCTTTGCTTCTGCTTCTCAGGCTCCTCATGATTCCAAGACTTGATTCCTTCAGAGGAAAAACCTTTCCATGGAGCTGGTTACTCCACAAGCTATTAAAGACCCCAGAAAAGCCCCAAACTG